AACACACCAGAGATGGTAGTCATCCACACTGGGCAACGTTTCCTTGGCTTGAGCCTTGACGGATAACAACAGAAAACAAACATTCAGATGGGCTAAGTTTGATTACTTCATCTACGAGTCTGTTTGCTCAAACATAAGAAAGCTGATTTCATTCCATAACCCTCCACTTTGTTGGCATCCAACCATTCTTAGAGTCAGGAGGTGCCTTCCTACATCCAACTTAAAAGATTCCCACATACATTGTATCTTAAATAGCTCTCCACAGAGCAGGAGAAGACCTGGTGTATATGTAATCTTCATTAGGCCACGTCTATCATATTTTTACCTTTATCATCATCATAGTTCTTTTAATTTTTCACCTATGGTCCTCTTCACTAGCCTTCTAATCGGTCTCTAAAAATAGCCAGCAAATATTCCACCAGTTTCAGAAGAACTGTTAAAATGCTGGTTTGACCCTTTTTGCTTTGGTGTAAGCCTGGGAAAGATTTATGATTTTCTTAGGAAAGCCTGGAAGGAGGCTGTAATCATTTCCTGGCTTTATTCTAGAACCTCTTTATCTTCCCCATAAATCTCTTATGCTGGCAAGGATGGTTGGGACCAGGAGATCAGTTTTACTTTCCTATCTGTTCTAAAATGTGCTGTTCTGAGTCTTCCCTTCCCTGCTAACAATTTCTAAAAGTACTAGCTGAAGCCCATTCCACAGGAAAGGGGTGTGTGGGGGGGTGGAGGCAGAGAGCAAGGGATCCAGATTCAACCAACATTTTGATTGGTCAGGTAGAATGTAAGGCCAGTAAGGGCAGGGACCACAGCTAAGTGCTCACCCATGTGCCCAGAGTCTAGCCTGGTGCCTGGCACAAAGCAGGCCCCCAATATTTTATAGAATAACTCAGTGAATGAATGCGCCCTACTTGCTAACCACTTTCATGTAGGAGAGGGTACAGATCTTGTTTTTCACATGAGAAAATGGAGAGCCCAATGGTATTTATAATGTCAGCAGTCAGCAAGGCCTCAACCCCAGGCCTCTGGCTTTTATAGTGCAATGCACCCCACTGCTTCCCATCCAAGATATTGCCTCCATTCCTCGAGCCACTTTGCTTTGCCTTTGCTATTCCCTCACCCAAGTTCAACTTTTCAGTAATAAGCCTGGATAACAGGAGCTGCCATGATCAAGAGCCCCTCTCCCCATAGTGACTTACCCCCAAGTGCAGCTGTCTCTCTCATGTTGACCTTGCCCCATGGATCTTCCCCCCTTCTAATCTTAAAATCTGCAGCCATTGGTGGGGGGGGGCACGGGGGGGGTGAATTCTGAGCATGTCCCAGAGACTTCTCTTTGAGTAAACTATCTTTGAGATCTTAGAAACTTGGGCTGCCCCACAGCCACCACCTACCAGTAGTGGTCTCTGTGACCCAGTGGTTCGGCAGCTCCTGGGGCATCCCTGGTTCGGGTGGGAGCCTGGCTAGTTTCAGGCTGCCCTAGGGTACCCACGTCAGGCTGTAACCTGCTCCCAAACAGATTCCCCTTCCTCCCTCCAACCTGCCGTCATGGGCTCCCGGACACCCCTGTCCTAAAAGCCCCAGTGAATGGTGAGGACAGTGCCTTGTTTGAGTGGCCCTCCGCCCCACGCCCAAGGTCTAGTGCATCACCATCCAGGCTGTCTCCTTCCCGGTAGTCAGACTGACCGGTGCTGGGACCCCTGGCTTCTCTGTTTGTGCTGGCTGCATTCTCTGTGACGGAGGCCCCTGGGGTGCAAGCAGAGCCCTGACTGAGAGGCATGGCTTCGTCTTTCTGCAGGGCCTTCTCCCCTATTTGTAGGTGCCACTTTCACAATGCTTAGACTCTTGGGTGTTGGCCTTGGGACTGTGCCACGTTTAAGCACAGGACAATAACCAGCATGTAATTTAAAAGGAATTTCCTTCTTTGCTCTTCCCTCATGCAATTCATTACAGAAGACAGACATAGATAGGGACTCTGAAACATAGACAGAACTTTCTTTTCTGGGCGCCTGGGTGGCTCAGTTGTTGGGCGTCTGCCTTCGGCTCCAGTCATGATCCCAGGGTCCTGGGATCGAGCCCCGCATCGGGCTCCCTGCTCTGCGGGAAGCCTGCTTCTCCCTCTCCCACTCCCCCTGCTTGTGTTCCCCCTCTCTGTGTGTCTCTCTCTGTCAAATAAATAAATAAAATCTTAAAAAAAAAAAAACTTTCTTTTCTGTCTCATTGGCTCATAGCTGCTCTGATGGGGCTCTGCTCATATCTTGAAGAGAACTCCTTTACTCCCTGTCCCCATGACTGCTTTTTCTCCTCCACCCCCATTTCTCCTCCTCCCTTATGGTTTTATTACATAGCTTGACTTGGCTCCTCTCCCAGCAGTAAGGAATCTTATCTCTTTGGAAGGGGGGGGGGGCTGGTCAGGGGTACGGCAATTAAAGAGCTCTCTTTAGAGTACAGCATTGGGGGTCGGGGGTTAGCAAATACCCAGACGTGAGCTCGGACCCATCACCTAGACATTTTTTAGACTAGGCATAGCCTCATGATTTCATTATTAGTCACCAACCATTAGAAATACATTTCTAATTCATCTTTGTGACATGTAAAGGGCCCCATCAACAGTTACTAACCCAGCTTGGTAACTCCCCCTGCAAGCTGGTGAAAAGCAACAACTCTGCGCTGGAGTCCAGCTCAGGAACAGGGCTGGGATGAGTTCTAGTTGGTCAGCTTTATTTGGTAGAGACAGGGAATCCTATGACTATATCATGGCTCTACCTGGATGTGATTGGTCCAGGCGGGTCAGGGGTTGCTCTGGTCCAGTCAGCTGTGTCCATTGTGGAGCGACATGCAGCATAAACCCAGCGGCAGCCCAGCCTCCGGAACATGGAATTGGTTGGGGAGGGAGGGAGGGAGGGAGTGGCCCGTGGCAACAAGATTTTGTGGTTCCACACAGCACAGGCAAATCAGGTTTTGTGTTTACCTCTTGGTCTGTCCCCCAGGGAGAAAGCCCTGGTCTGAGTGAAAGAATGAGTACTCTCTGTCACTGGCAGGGGTCCCATCGCCACCCCTCTCTGCCTGGAAGGACAAAGGGAGTGACTCAGTCCCTGGGCATCCGTATCCAGGCCTGCGGGGCACCCTCCAGCGCAGGCAGCCAGCACCGTCTGAATTTGCCCTGGTCCCCCAGACACTGGAGCAAGTGGCGACAGCAAAAAGCGCATCTCCGGGGAAGTGGAAGCAGAAGCAAACAGCTGCAAAATGATACTTCATTGGAATCAGCTTCTTGTTTGTCAGGATGAGTAGCTGGGAGTGAATTGTGGCTTCCTATTTCCATCCAGGCTTGGGGGAGGAAGAGAGCCGAGAAAGAACTGACCAGAGGAATTTGACTCCATGAAGAGGCGGCCACTTGTTGTGTCTTCTGCCATATTTACCTGTGATTGTTAGGCCTCTCCTCCCGCTCACCAAGACACTCTCCTTAAATGGAGAATTCCTCACACGGGCCTTCCTCCAGAGGAAGGGAAGCATGGCGACATCTGAAGGGACATAGCCTAACCACAAGAGATTTCTGTTTCCTGCTCCTCCAGCTCAAAGTCACACCATTCTGGTTGGGGGCTGGGGAGGGTTGGCGTCGGTCTTAAAATAGCTGCAAACCTCAAGAACAGCCCAGTGGTGGGTTTGAAGACCGCAACCTCTTAGTGTTTCTGTTGTGCTAGGTCTTATCTTCCCTTTTAATATCCTCCCACCCTCTCAACGCTGCTTCTATGCTTGCCCACTCCGTAATTTATGGATGTGTTTTTGAATGATTTTCTTCGGTTTTGTTTTTACATCTCTGGGAAAGATAAGGGAGTTACATTGTTATGCCAAGACAGAACTAACTTAACGTGAGACTCGGAAGACTTTAAGACAAGTTCCAGATCGGCCGATGACTAGTTTTGTAAACCTCAGGCAAATGACTTCGGTTTCCTCCCCCATTCTCCCATGGCTGTGTTTATACTTCTATTATTGTATGTATCACACCTCTGTGTTCCCTAGGCGATTTTCAGCTTCTTTAAGATTTTATCTGTCTGGGTGACAATCGCAATGCTTAGCACAGTGCCTGGCACAGAGCGGATGTCCAAAAAATATAAAATTTAACCTCTCAGAGTCTATGAAATTGGGATAATTATACCAAATTATAAACATTAAATAAGGCAATTCATGTGATTTACAAACTATTAGTAACAATACATGTCTAAAAGCTGTCACAATGCCGTTATAAAAATTTGTATAGTTTTTAAAAAAAAAAAATGTGGTTCTATTAAATTAACCTTACATCGTATTTGAAAAGTTTAGGGTAAAGGATTTGTGGGGAAAAGCTAAGATTTCTCATTTGCAACGATCATATTAATCTCATGACTTATTTGGTTTCGAGCAAAAGCCTCTGTTCTCCGTTGTGGTGTTTTCCTCTCAACTAGTTACATTGTTGTTTTTTTTTTTTTTTAAGATTTTATTTATTTATTTGACAGAGACACAGCGAGAGAGGGAACACAAGCAGGGGGAGTGGGAGAAGGAGAAGCAGGCTTCCCGCCGAGCAGGGAGCCCGATGCGGGGCTCGATCCCAGGACCCTGGGATCATGACCTGAGCCGAAGGCAGAGGCTTAACGACTGAGCCACCCAGGCGCCCCTAGTTACATTGTTTAATGGTTGATATATGTGGAACAAAGGATGATAGCTCTAAACCGGGGTTTCTAAACCTCTGCACTATTGACATTTTGAGCCAGATCATTCTTTGTTGGGGCTGGAGGGCTGTCCTGTGTATTGTAGGATATTTAGCAACATCGCTCCCCATCTCTACCCACTAGATGCCGATATCACTTCCTCCCAGTTTAAGAACCCAGAATGTCTCTAGACATTGTCAAATGTCCTCTGGAAGGTGTTGGGGGCAAAACTGCTTCCCTCCCTTCTCTGTGAGCACCACTGCTCTGAAGTTTTGGCGAATGCTTTTTTTTTTCTCTTTCATCATCTATTATTAACTTTCTCAATATTTTAAATGTATGAGCTCAGGTTACTTAAGCTCTGAGTCCTACTCAAAGCATTTTTTGCTGACTTGGGTTTGAAGATATGCAAGTCCTTCAACACATCTGATTAGTCAGAGAGAATTTCCCAGCTTGCCAGAGGAACTCTTTCCGCTTCATCCTTCCACACTCAGGGTTGGTACACCCTTAATTTCTATCCTTTACTCCAAGACTTTGAAGATCAAGCCTACAATTCTAGCCTCATTTCTTCTAAGAAGCAAGCAGGCTTCTTACCCCTTGGGCCTCTGAAGGCCTGACTTCTCAGAGCTCCCCCAAGTAGACATATAATTGAGGCCCCTCTGTGAGCCTCACTGCACTCAGGTCTATCCCATATATACATTTGGGTATTATCACTTCATCGTACCACAAAGAACAAGTCTAAGGTGAACTATACCTATCTTCCTATCTGTACCTTGCTTCTTCTCTTTTCCTCTGCATTTGGTGTCTTTGTGGACTTAGCCCACTTCACAGGCAACGACTTAACTTTTCCAGCCCTTTGATAACTGGAGCCAATGCCACAGTATCTCACTGCAGATGAGATGCCTACTTTCTGCCCTGTCTCCTGCCTGCCCTCCTTTGAAGAGCCCAGACGTTCATGGTCTTGTCTGACATTTGTTTTCTCCAACATACAGAATCTGTTATGAATAGTCTCCACTTGTTTGCCTATGAACTTGGAAAGCATGAATTTACCGGTAGCACAGATGCTACCCACTTCTCTGAACACCTGTGATTCTGGCACTCAAACGCCTCTCTCCCTGCTACAGAGGACACTGTCCCATCAATGGAAAATGCCCCCTACCGTGCACACAGCTTCCGTATCTCCTTGAGCAACCACATTTAGAATGGGACTTGCTGTCATCTGATTGCATTATGCACATGTTGGATGCTCATCCAACTTTCTGATACATAACACTTCTGATATCTGATCTTCTGATCACTTCACTATCACTGTCTGATACATAACACTTCTACTTGCTTTTGGCAAGAGAGATGCTAACTCAAAACTGCTATCTTAACAAAGTAGTATGACTAGCCACTTTTCAAGTTAATATTGTGAAGATGAGTTGACATCTTAGAAGACAGAGAGTAGCTAATTAGGAGCTCATCTGAAGAGGAAATTTGGAAAGGCTGTTTAATGTGTCCAAGATGTTTTAAAATCATTCTCTTCACATTGACAGCCACCATCACCACCACCACTTTAAGCTCTGACTTAGTGTCTGCTATATATTATTTTATTTAAACCTTGAAACAATCCTGGTGAGGTTTCATTGGAGATAAATATTAGTATCTCTGTCTTACAAACGAGGAAACTGAAACTCAGAGATGTTGTGTGAACTTGACCAATGGCATACAGTTGATAAGTAGCAAATTTGAGATCCAGTCCAAAGCCGGATGAAGTGAGATGCTCAATATTATCATAAAGAATGGGGGATTTCTACAGAACTCCAAAGCAGAGTAAAGATCTTCTTGTCTAATGCCAACAACTATCACACTAAGGAGTTCTAAAAAAAAAACATAGAATGGTGTGAAAAAAAACAACACACAAGATTAGGAATCAGAAGACCTGGATTTTAATCTACACTTAACTACTTTCTAGCAGAATGATCATGGACAAATTGACTTACCATGGCTGAGCATCAATTTTCTCATCAAAAATAGAGATTAAGGGCTGTTGTGAATATTTATATTAACTGTTTGCTCTACAAAATTATAGTTTGACCATAAGCATTTTCCAGGAGTCTCATCATCAAATCATGGGAAGAACCTGGCTTCTCTACTCAAGTCAAGTTGGACAGCCATTGCCAAGGCTGTCCAAAGGCAATGGTGTTCTCTTTCCCATAGCATCATGATGACACAGGGAGAGTGACCATGTCAGGCCATGGGGGATGCCGCTTTAATAGGCTGACCACATTTGGAACACAGACAGGACCTCTTCTGAGTAACCACAGGGAGAGGACAAACAGACTCAACGGCACTCCTCCAAGTGGCTGGCCAGTGCCCATGAGCTTTGGAACACTGTGGTTAACCCCAGACTCTGTCAGGAGGGAAAAGTCCCAACTCTCCATTTAGTTGCTTCCACAAAAGTAAACCAAAATGAGTCATATAGAGATGGAGAAACCAACAGAGACAGCCTTCCATGCAAGGATCACCAGAAAGAATTAAATCTGGAGACAGGAGAATCTGAAGAACCTGGGCGGCTGATGTTCCTTCTCGGTGAGTCAATATGTAAGACACATGGTGCAGTGTGAGCTTATGTGTGTGAATGTTCACGCTCATGTACAATGAAGGACCTTTGTGTACTCTGCCACCTCCCTCTTGGTTGGTTTGCCAGGTGCTGCTCTACATCACTTTTGTGGATTGGAAATTTATACACTATGATTATTAGAGGGAGAACCTGGTTCTTTTTAATATTACAAAATTGCTCTTTGAAAAGTTTGGACCAATTCAATTTTCATTCTTGCAAACAGAGCATAAGAGAGTCTGTTTACTTCACCAGTGCCAACACTTTGAAATAGTATTATTATCTCTCTCTCTCTCTCTCTATATATATATATATAAATTTTTTTTTAAAGATTCATTTTATTTATTTTAGAGAGAGAGAGCATGGGAGGTGGTGGGGAGGGAGAGAGACAGAGAAATACAAGCAGAACCCGAGCTAAGTGCAGAGCCCGACACGGGTCTCAAGATCAGACCTGAGCCAAAACCAAGAGTCGATCGCTCAACCGACTGTGCCACCCAAGTGTCCTTCCACTTACATTTTTAAAGTAATACTTACTTGTGATGAAAATTACATTCATATACTGTATAACATTATGAAAACTCTCCTTTTCCCCCTCCTTACCCTGTTCCACTTTCTATGGTAACCAACTTCAGCCAACCTGATTCTAGTTCTTCTGATGGTTGCCACAAAATACTAAATAAAAGCTTATACCTCAATTTCTTGATTTATCAACTTTCTACAGTATTTATTGATGTGGCACATGAGGATTTGTGCTAACTTATCCTCATTGTGTAATTGAGGAAATTGTCCCTCTCCCCTCTCCCCTCCAACCCTTTCTCCCTACTTCCTTCACCTCCTGTCCTCTGTCATAACTGCCCTGTTCCTTTTATGTATTTATTGGGTTTGCAATAGTTATACTCTGTTCTGAAACCAAAGTTAGCCTTTCATACTTTTTCAAAAAATTTATTCTAAAATTTGAAAATCAATGAAGAGTTTTTATCACTGTAAATATATAAAAATTATTTACTGAAGAATGCAGGAAGAAAATAATCCTAAGCTACTCAAAAGAGAATGTTCGAAAGTCAAAATCAAGTAAGTCCTCTTTTCTTACCCTAATCAGTTTCTCACAACTATACCTTAATTTGTTTCTTATTTGGATTAGGATTTTACCTCTGATTTTTGTTTTTTTGTGGGGTTTCTACTTACTTTTCTTTTTTAAACTAATTAACAATAGAAATATATATCCTCATTACCATATCATTAAGAATATCCAATTTCTTAAACATACCTAGTTTTATCTCATTGTCTTCGGGTATGTACCAGTTGCTGCCATGTTGATTTTTTTAATTTTAATTACACCCTTAAGTTATTTCTAATATTTCTTGGATCCCATGACTTTCTCTTTCTTGGATTCCTCTTTCATGTTATTGGAGGACATACACAAGTAATCTTTTCTTTCTTTCTTCTCTCTCTCTCTCTCTCTCTTTCTTTCTTTCTCTTTTAAAATTTATTTATTTCAGAGGGCAGGTAGGGGCAATGGGAGAGGGAGAGAGAAACTCAAGCAGACTCCACACTGAGCACAGAGCCCAACATAGGGCTCAATCTCACGACTCTGGGATCACGACCTGAGCTGAAACCAAGAGTCGGATGTTTGACCGACTGTGCCACCCAGGTGCCCCCATACAAGTAATCTTTCAGTGCTATGGTCTGAATGTTTGAGTCTCCTGCTGCCAATTCGTAAGTTGAAATCCTAATCTCCAATGTGATGGTATTGGACGGTGGGACCTTTAGGAGTTGCTTAGGTCATAAGGGTGGATCCCTCATGAATATAATTACTGCCCTTACAAAGGAGGCCCCAGAGAGCTTACTTTCTCCTTCTGCCATGTGAGGAAGTTGGCAGTCTGCACCCCCAGAAAAGGGCCTTCTTAAGCACCTGACTGCACTGGCACCCTGATCTTGGACTTTCAGCTCTCAGAACAGTGAAATATAAATGTCCATTGTTTATAAGCTACCCAGGCTATGTGGTATTTTGTTATAGCAACCCAAACAAACAAAGACAGTGGATAAATGTTTAAATCTTTGTTTTGTCTATAGACATTCTGAGAATTGAAAATTAATTGTCAGTCTTTGTAATATTATAATTGTATAAATATTATTAACTGAAGGACTAAGTAGTATTGTACTGAAAAACTCTTCGTGTGCCCTGATACTTGGTAAATAGTTTGGTTGAATTAATAATTCTAGATTTAAAAAATCACATTCCTTCAGGACTCAAAGGCATTGTTCCCCTAAGTTACTCTTCTAGCATCCAAGATTACTGACAAGAAGGCCACAGCCATGTTAATTCTTACGCTTTTATGGTACTCTATCTGTACTCCCTGGAAGCATTGAGAATCTTCTCTTTGCATTTCTTGTTCTAAATTTTATCACAACATATATGGGTCCTTTTAAAAGTTCTTTTTGCTGAAGCCCCCACAGCTCCTTCCAATTTGAAAACTCTTATCTTTTCTTTAATAAATTTTCCCCTTTATGTTCTTTCTGGAATTCCTGCCAGATGGATGTTAGACATCTTGACTTGTACATGTCTTTTAACGTACCCCTCATATTTTACATCACTGTCATTCTGGTCTATATTCTGGAATATTTCCTCAACTTTATCTTTCAGCCCTTCTATTGAAATGTTTAATTTTCATGAACTCTGGCTGTCTTTGGTATATCCATTCACATTTACAAATATGTTAAAAGATAGACCATATGGACTTGCACTGCTCACTTTAGAGAGAGGGGTAGAAATCAGGCTGACAGGATGTTCCTCAACCCCTGCATGCCCCCTCTTCAGGGCCAACACAAGGACAGCCTCACTCTGGAAGGACCACCCTCACTCAAGGAGCCCTAGCCCTTCCCAGACCAACTGTTGAGTTCCCCTAAAGAGCTCACTCATCTCTGAAGGTGACCAGTACATGGCCAGCTGGTCTGCACCCATGGCAGGGAAGTGGTGGGAGTGAAGGTGGGCAACCGGTTTAGCTGCTCCACACATCTCCCTTCAAATGGTCATCCTGATGGCCAACCCACATTCCAGTCCTACTTAACCGTTCTGTCAACTCAGAGCTTGGCACCCCTTCCAGATCCCCCAGGAAGACAGCTCTCCTTCCAAGAGTCTGACTCTCTCACTGCAGCATCCTTTCGTACCTCAGATACAGCTTCCCTCTCTGTGGTTTACTTGGCAATTCAATCCCATTTGCTTTCCTCCATCTTCTAGAAAATTGTCAAAAACTCTGCTGACATGTGCGGCTGCACTGTGCACCATTGAATTGATTCCCTCGTATACATCTTTGCTGCTGTTTCAGTAGGCCTCTGAGTGGGAGGGAAGGACCCAGGTGGGCCCACTTCACTCTGAACTAAAACCTACCTCAACATTCTCCTTTCTCAACTTTTCCTCCTGTTCCTTTTTCCTGACTTTGTCGAGAAATGAAGGGCAAAGAGGAAAGGATGCCCCACATCATGATATTCTCTCCTGAGGGCAGGTTTCCATCTTGCTACCTCCCTGAATTCTGACTCTCTGCTCTCGGTGTCGTCCCATGTTGGACTGGTGGTTGGAGCTACCTCTGCTTGCCCATAAAAGTCCTCTGGAACATGCCAGTCTGGCACCCCCGCTCCATACTCTACCCGCCAGCAGGACATCAGTATGAGATGAAAGGCTCTGTGAGTGGCACCATTCCTGCAGCTGGGGGATCACAGTGACAGGTACCAATGCCCACTTTGTCAGTGGACCGGGGCCCCCCACCTTGGTTTATATAAGCTGAACTCTATCCCCTGCAGCTCAGAAGCATAATGGTACTTGACTTCAATAACTCTCTGAACAAAGCTCTTTATTTGGAGAAAAGCATCAAACCCCTTCTGAAAATTAACCCTTGAAAAAAAAAGGTCATGATAATTCTGAGGAAACTTGAAGTGATGTATGTGTCTCTTAGGAGTTTTATTTTAAGTAAGACTGGGAATTTTAATACACTCATGCAGCACATTGGGAAGATCTGGAGTCTTCAGAACCCACGTTCTCCCTCCCAGCTTGGCAGGGGGCCACAGGACTGTGAGTCTATCTGTGGCAGAAAGCCCATACCTCAAGGCACTGAGAATGACCCTTCTCCCACTTATCTCATGAGTGCACAAACTTCTGAATTTAGGAGAAAGAGGAGCCAGAGGGAACGGCCTTTAATGAAGGATGAGTGGTGGTTTCTCTCAAAACTTCTGGGAAGGCCACAATTTTATCTTAAACCATACTGTCACAAGAAGAAACGATACTTAAGGAGACTCAAAGAATGGGACTCAAACAGGAAAAATCCCACAGAAACTTTCCAGGGATCTTCATTTGCGACCCACAGAGGCAAAGAACTTTGCACACAGTAGGTATTTGTATCAGTCTGCTGGGGCCGCCATAACAGAATCCACAGGCTGGGGGGCTGGAACAGCAAACGTGCATTTTCTCACAGCTCTCGAAGTCTCATGGGAGGCTTGATACCCAAGATTAAGGTCCTGGCAGAGGTGGGTTTTGGTAAGGACTCTCTTCCTGGCTTGTAGAACTTCTTCCTTTTCTGTCTTCTTCTTCTTATAAGGACACTAGTCCTATCTGATTAGGGCCTCACTTTCCTGACCTCTATTTGACCTTAATTACTTTCTTAAAGGTCCTGTCTCCAAATATAGTCACATTGGGGGTTAGAGCTTCAACCTAGGGATTTGGGAAAGGACACAATTTGGCCCATAACAGTATTGAATAAACACTTATGGTTAACTAATGTTTGCTCTATCTAACTGCCTTCCTGGATATGTGGGGGGCCCCATTTACTCCATAGAGACTGTAAGGAGAAGAAACCCTCTTCTTGTCCACATCCCTTTTATTCTTCCTCAAGGTAATATCACTGCCAATATGATTGCACCACTATGGTCATCAGGACACATTTTTTATAACATTTCTGTGAGATGGAAACATCCACATGTC